GGGGTCTCGCTCTTGCTCAGGCTGGTCTTGAACTCCTGAGCTGAAACGATCCACCCGCCTCGGCCTCCCAGAGTGCTAGGATTACAGGCATGAGCCACCACGCCTGGCCCTCACCTCTCTCTTTTGTAAAATGGACAGAGAAGATAGGACCACAAAGGGGACACTGCCACTAGCTCCAAAGTATTATTCATTTGCTAACAAATTATGTTAGATTCTTTCCATAACGAGGGATAGAAACCTAAAGCAAGGTAGTGCAACCAACACACTGAACAAGTATGACTTGCAGGGGGTCATGAAATGCAAATTTATTTTTGTCCTCCCTTTGTAATTTTTCAGCGGGAGAAGTTTTCTTCTTGCCCCTGGATAAAAGCTGGTTCTCTGGGCAGGCCCCATAGCATGTGGGCCCCCTCTTAGACATAAAAGGTGCTTTTGTCCCTTCAAATAATGAAGTTAAAATGTCCAGTGCCTGAAAATTACCAAAACTCTGAACTTATCACACCTTATCCCTTATCCTCAGCTTGGCCCCCTGTCAAAACGGCCTTTCCTAGTGGGCGACGATGTTGTCACTCCTCTTCTCTTTCTGTTTCCTAATGTTTAAAGCTGACTTTTTCTCTTAGGAGCTTTCTTGCATTCTTTGAAGTCCGCTCCCTGCCCCTCAGCAGCAACTCTGGTGATGCTGTGACACCTCCCTTTTAACTGGCCACCACCTCCCTTGGGCCCTGGCTCTGCAGGGGTCCATGCCACCCAGGCACTAGCTGTCAGAGTCCCTCCTCCCCTGTAAGGCGTCCTCTTGGGTAGGCCTTACAGTGGCTCCAGGGTGGTGTGTTCTCTTTCTCTCTCTCTCTCTTTGGCATAGTCCACATCCTGTCCTCAAGAAATGTCCTCTCTACTTCGGCCAACCACTGGAGAGGAAGGCCATGCTTCCTGGACACAGAAGCAACTCTTCTCCACTGCACCAACAGAGAAACCCACTGTCCCCTCTCTCCTGCCCTCCATGTTCCTGGGCAGGAGTTGTGCCGCCATCTGCTGGGTCTCCCAGAACCCAGGGGCCGCAGCTCCAGCTCTCTAGGTGGCCCCAGGAAGTCCCTTTCTTTCAGCTTGAGGAGAAGGAGACAGCAGCTCTTTACAAAGGACTCTCCCCACGCGTGACAACCCAGCCCTTGGTTACCGAGGCTGGCAATCCCTTGGACAGTCCCAGTTCATACTCATTTCTCTGGTCTTGAATTTTTGGTCCCTGGGATTTCGCCTTTGAGTCATAACACACGTTAGGTTCTCAATGCATCAAAGCAACACTTAAGGTTTGGAGAGTTATGTACTCCCCTTCGTAGGACAGCCCTTAACTCCAGTTCCTCCTCCTCCTCCCTCTCTCCTCAGGTTGCTCTTAGACACCTCATTCCATATGTGCATATTGTCACTGCCTTTCATTTCCATATTTCCATTTATGTTCAAGGCACTCGTGCTAGAAAAGACATGATTTAAAAAATGGTTTTAAAGTTAGATTTTAACAATGTTTTCTTTTTCTTCTATTGCTTTCAATAACCCCAAAATTTCTGGGCTCCAACAGAAGCATCGACACTGCCATTGGAATAGACAATTCCATCAGCGACAAGACACCCTTGCCAGTGGTATCTTCAGTCGACTTGAAAGTACCCATGAGAGCCACTTTGAGCCACAGCCTCTGGGAACAAGAGAACCCCGATGAGCACTTCCTGCACGTTCCTGTGGCCAGTTCCCTAGGAGAGCACTTTTTAGGACCCTGACACCTCACCAAAACAGGGTGGTCTTCCCTGGCAGCCATGCGCTTGCTACCACCTCCTAGCATGCTGTTTTCCCACTGCAGGCTGAATGACCCTGGGAGAGGTAAGATGGTGTTTATAACAAGGTGCTTCTGTGCTTCCACCAATAAACCTCCAAGCAAGTCCCTAATTGTTGTAGGTTTTACCATCGGAACAGGAGCTCACTCATGGGGAAAAGAAGTGGGGAAAAAGTTACTATCTGCTCAGTGGGAACCACAAAATAGCCAAGCAAAGCCAAGAAAACCAGTCCAGAGGAAAGGACCTCTGGGGAGACACCAACTTCCTCTTTCAAAGGGGAGGGGGAAACAGAGGCATTTTGTGTACTGGGGTTGGGGAAGGAGCTTTGGCCAACCTTTAGACAAGTATGGGATATTTACTCAGAAAATACCAAACAATATTCAATAAATGTTTATCAAACTCCTGCTAGGGGCCAGACACATGCTCAGTGCTGAGTATATTAGAGAGGACAAGACAGATGGACAAGTTACCTGCCTTTAGGGAGGGCATGGGAGAAATACCGAGCCCTATTTTGGAAATGTGGGAAGGCCATTAACGTTGACATGTGATTTTAGCCACCTAGTCTGCCAGTAAAGGCCGGAGGACATACTCTCCCTTAGCTCGTGTCCTGTGGGCTGTGGGCAGAAAACACGATTGCCCTCCTTGCGTGTGCTCAGCTGGGCTGGTAAATCCTGGCTCGATTGGGCCGGAAAAGACAGCTGAGCTGAGAGGATGCCTAATGTTTGTGGGTTTCTTCCTGTACCCAATAAAAATAAAAAACAAAGCAAATTTCCTTTTAACATGTTACAATCAAATAAGCTGAGCATTGTTGATGCTGGTGAGGGACATCTGGAAGCTGGACTTAGAATAGATAAATGAGAAGAGTGACCATACTTCCCAACTTATGCCTGCAGTCCTAGTTTTATTATTAATATATACCCATTTATATCTCAGTGGTGTCCCTGTATGAATGGCAAATCATATGGCCACCCTACTAATATGATGTGTTTACGAACATTTAAAGGATTTCCATCCCTGCTTCTATTGCCTTGGTTTGGGCCTCCATCACCTCTCACCTAGACTATTGTGACAACCCCAGCTGGTCTCCCTGACTCCATCTGGCCTCAGCCTCCCAAGTCTCGGGGACTACGAGTATACACCACCTTGTCCAGCTTTCGTTTTTGATATCCGTTGCACTCATGACCCCTGCCCTTGTTGATGGAATTCTTCTATGCTACTATCGTGCCCTGCGTGTGCCGTGTGTGATACCATTTCTCACACCACTGTGGTTATTTGTTTACATGTGTGTCTCCTTGGTGGAACTAGGAATTCTTTGAGAACAGATACCATTTTATAACAGAGTTCTTTGGTTGCCAATGAGAGAGGCTCACTCTAATTTAAACCAAAAGGAATTCATTGGAAGGATGTGGGTTGGCTCACAAAATCAAAGAGCAACTGAACAGCCCGTCTTGGGATTCGCTGACACCAGGAAGGCTCCAGGAGTTCGGGGAGGGGGGCTAGCCGACCATCTCATCGACTGCTGCAGCGGGCCGGGTGGCTTCCCCATAAGAAACTGAGGGTGTTACACAAGAACAAATGTGGGGGTGCATGTCTAGTGGCTGATAATGACGAATGTCCAGCAAAGTCTGACTCTTTGCTGTCTGTTGGGAGAGGCACTCGGCGTGAGCCTCTAGCATCTCTACATCTCTCCTTGCTAAGTCTGCCAAATTTCAAGACCCAGATGATCTCTGACTCTGAGCCATTTCTGTAGCTAGTCACATAGGCAATTAAGTAGGTCAAGGTGACTAAGCATGACTACTTTATGACTACTTGCTCTCCAGAGGAAAGGGACTGGTTTGGTTATTGTTTGCTGTAAAGGGCACTGGGCCCTTGTTCCCGAGTGCTTCAGCCGTAGCGTGGTCCATCGTGTTGCCTGGGGACTGGGCAACTGGTACTGCCATCATGATGTTCCTGCTGTTTGCTCTGCCGCTGGTAATAAACTGTCTTGCCTTGGTCACCTGTGAGATTGTGGTAAGTCAATCTGCTTGCTTAGTCATTAGTTTAAAGTATTGTTACTCCTTGCCATCCTCTGTGAGACCTAGATCCTTCTCTGACACCGTTCAAACCCACGTACACTCTTATTTTGTAATTTTTTCACTATTAAAAATAATCTCAACTGGGCGTGGTGGCTCCCATCTGTAATCCTAGCACTCTGGAGGCTGAGGCAGGAGGTTTTTTTTTTTAAGGCAAGCATGAAAATGAGGTTTATTGAGGAGAGTAAGATAGGATTATAGGGCAAGAGCAAGATATAGGTTTACAGAGCATGATACACATGCCACAGATGACGACCAGATCCATTATCGCAGCAAAAGGAGAGCAAAAGGAAGGGCGCAAAAAAGCTAGGTGGGAGGATCACTTGAGCTCAGGAGTTCGAGACCAGCCTGAGCAGGAGTGAGACCCGTCTCTACTAAAAATAGAAAGAAATTAGCCAGATAACTAAAAAAAAAAAAATAGAAAAAATTAGCCAGGCATGGTGGCACATGCCTGTAGTCCCAGCTACTCAGGAGGCTGAGGCAGGAGGATCGCTTGAGCCCAGGAGTGTGAGGTTGCTGTGAGCTAGGCCGACGCCACGGCACTCTAGCCCAGGAGACTCTGTCTCAAAAAAAAAAAAATGAAGCCAACTCAGAAAAAGGAAAACATGGACCCAGGAAAGGGGTGGGTTCAATGTAGAAAAGAAGTGAAGGGAATATTGAGGGTGTTGGTGAAGGGGGAGCCCGAGCAACAGCAGAGCAGCAGCCCTGGGGAGCGCTCAGCTCTTACTGCAGCAGGAGACAGGCCTCTGCTAACACGTATCTATATCCTCAGAGGCCGCACTGGTGAGACCCCTGGTGTGTCTGAACATGCTGAGAGAAGATTCACAGGTATGGCAGAGTTTAGGGGTGTGTTAGGAATAGGGCTATAAAACCAAGCAAACAAAAAAGTGATATAACTATGAACTCCAAGAGGAAAAGATTATACCAAAAAGAAATATAATTTAAGTATGCACTATATCTGTGACTATTCGCAATATTGCAAACAATGCATATAGATTTAATCAAAGGTAACAAAAAACTGTATTTGGAGGGTGGGTGAGAGGCAAGCGTGTGGAGGGAAGGGGTCGGGGGGAAAGGACGGTAAAGATTAAAGCCTCCTCTTCTGTAGCTGGATGTTCTTGTCCCAGGAATCCTTTGGTTCCTGCCTGTTCTCCAAGCTGATCTGTATGGCTATATCTAAGGGCTTATTGTCTCTGGCTTCCAGGGGCGTTTGGCCAATGGGAAGCCCAGGCAGGAGGTCAGCGAGGGAAGGAGAATGAGGTCAGGACAGCTGTTCCCTCCCTTGTGGTCACACAAGGCTGGCTGTGTTCCTCACAGATGGACACTGCTCTTTTCGTGGTGGGTTCCTCTAGTGGACTCTTTCCCGATTCCAGTAACCACTCCCTCCCCTCACCTGTCCCAAATTGCATGTCAGGGGCAGGGATGCTACTCATCTCCATGCAGGTGTGGCAGTGGGTACAGCATCCTGCCCAGGCCGTTCTGGCTGTGAGACAGAAGCTAATTGCTTCTCTTTTGGTTCCGGCCAATTCTCCATGCCTGGTGTCTTCAGCTTCAGTTGAAGAGCCTCCAATAGCCTTCCAATAAATTCACTTTGGCTCAGGTTGGCCACTTTCTGTGTGGACACCCATGAAGTCTAATTGATATGTGCTGTTCCCAGAATAGTGGGTGCCATGTAGGCAAACATGCCAAACATATGTGTCTCGTTCATGTGCGTATCCTCCAGTGCCAGCTTGTCCTCCAGCGTCTGTTTATTGCGAAATAAAGCCATATCTGCCACAGCCAGCTCTGGCTGCCCCACTCTCTTCCTCTCCCCAAACAAAGGAAAAAACTACAACCTTTGCTGAACCGGCTTATCCCTGGAACTGATTTCTCAGAGACTATTTCTCAGATGAAAATAGTACCATACGAGGGATTGCTAAAGCTTTTAATGACCAATAAACACGCCATTTAAAAGGGAAAAGAAGCAAAGCATTGTTATCCAGAGTCAATTAAAATCCACCAGGACATGGCATTTGCAAAAACAATCCCCAGAACAATGTAAAAATGCATCTTAAAGTTCCTGAGGTGTAATTCAGAGAAAAGAGAAAATGTCCTCAGGGAATAATACCATTTAAAAATATGTGATGGAAATGAGATCAAAGCTTCACAAATGTCCTTGGAAGTCTTGAGAATAAACATGGGGTTCATTAGGTCTCTGCTGGTGGTGATGAGGCAGCCCACAGGGAAACAGGGAAGCTAGGAGCGCATGGAATACCTAGACTTGCACCCCTGGGGCTCCCAGGGATTCCCTAATGAACTCTCAGAACCACACACAGGCCATTGATTTAGAAAAAACAAAACACAAGAGGCCAGTCTCAGAAACCCAAGACCATGCTTTCACAAATGGTTTCAACCACTGAGAGTGGTAACGCTTCACAAAACATGAACATTTAGAGTTACTAAGGCTAAAGCCACTTACAGGAGTATAATTCCAATGGAAATGACCAGAGGTACAGCAATCTAGAGATTCTGAGAGAAGGCAGTTCTGGTTTTTGCTCTGTCTCTGATTTCTGCCTGACTTAGAATAAATCAATTTCTTTCTCCATGGGAGACATGGATAATGCTTTTTAGTAAACTATCACTAAAATTTTTTCATTATGATGTTAATAATTGCCATAGTAATTAGAAACACACCATGTATCCATGACATGCAAATAAATACTCATAGATGGCTTGTTCTGGGTTGGTTTTATAACCTGCCTCAAGTCTCCAATTAAGCGCATTGCCTTGGAGAGAAGGAAAGGAATGTCCGTCACATCCATCTCTCCCCTCCCTGCCATTCAAGGGCCATATCTAGATGAAAAAGAATGTGACAGGGGACTGTCACACACACAT